TTGTCAATGCATACATCAATCATTTCTGATGGTAAGCCAAGACCCGCAACCAACCTCTGTATTTCATAATAATTCTCAGCAGAAAGATTATCAGCCGGTAGGTACTCTTTGAAAAGTTGAGCCCACGAATCCATGCAAACCTCAGAGAGATTATTATCAGTTTTAATTGTCATCATCCTAGATGCCAATGATAGTTTCGACTGCCCTTCTCTACATCCATCGTAGATAGGCTCATTAGCAGCATCTAACATATCATAAAACCTTTTTGCATCTACGTTGGGTTCTTCCCTAATATTATCAACAAATGAGGTTGCTAGAGCTTCATGCATTGCATCTACAACCATATCATGAAACCTATTCCCTTGTTGATACCCTTCATCTACATTTCCAAACATATTTTGCCCATAATGTTCATAATCAAAATTAAAATTGGGCTGCTCTAAACTCTGACTCATACTACTACTTTCAACCGTAGCAACACTACTATCTTCCCCATGCAAAAACTATACATAATAGTTTGGCATAAATCCTCTATTATATACATGCTTCTTCACGGTATCAATTTCTAAATATGGCACATTCTTGCACTTTCTACATGGACAGAATATTTTACCGTTTTCCCTTGCAAATGATTGGTTTGTCGCCTGATATAAGAATGCTCGAAACCCATCCCGAAACTCTTTTGTCACCTCGCCGGTCTCCGGATCTCGATGATTGTACATCCACGATCGTAACGCATATATGCTATGCTCTGAAGATATTTTCTCAATATTTCTTTCTCACTTCTCTTTTCTCTCTTTTTAAAAATCTATCCTTTTCTTATTTTTTGAAAACTATAAGATTTTTTTCTTTATTTTTCTTTCTTTATTTCTTTCTCTTTTTCTTTCTTTCTTTCTTTCTTTCTTTCTTTCTTTTTTTCTTTCTTTCTTTCTTTCTTTCTTTCTTTCTGTTGTGATTGTTTCACTAACTCCCGAAGGCTATTTATAGATATTCAAAAATTTTATGACGGCCTAGCAATGGACGAATGCGACAGATTTGCGACATCATAATATATTGCGAGTAATTTGCGACGGATTTGTGACACAGAACCGACTGATTTGCGACTCCGTACCTAACTACTTAGGCCGATGGGAAGGGAGTAAAACGTGGTTCAACTACTTTGAGTATCCACGCAAATTCGTCGCAAGTTGGTCGCAAACTTGCAACAGAATTTCTTTCCCGTCGCAAATTGCGATAGCCTTGTTTGTTCGTCGTAATTACCCCTATCGGTTGCAAGTTCGTCGTAATGTCGTCGCAAAGCTGCGGTCGGTTTGCGATGGGCTATTGATGTCGCAATTTGCGACAGATTAGCGAGACACTATTTTTTTCTGGCAAATCTGTCGCAAACGCGTCGCAAATTGCGACCATCATTCGACATCACAAATTTCCAACGCAAAAGGGTTATTTTCTTGTAATGGCTTTAATAGAGAGCTTTACACATGCAACAAGAGTTTGTGACTAATGTCATGAATAGCCCTGATATCTACGGTTCTCAAATTAAATATCTATCGAATAATTAATCTATAACCGAAGCCAATCCAAACCGGTTATTTTAAATCGATTCGGATTTGGTTTTTTGTGTTAAGTTTTTTTTCCCAGGTCTAGTCACGAAACTAAGATCTATGTATATACTATAACGTCTTTTTTTTTTGTCGGTATACTATAACGTCTACAAATCTCTATCTCTTATTATTTTAAAAAGAAAAATATATACAAAACTTTAGCATTAAAAACTCCAGAAAATTTCTATTATATGAAACTACAACTTTTTATCTCTAACAATTAACTTTACATATTTAAAAATAAGGTTATGTTTTTGGGTATAATAAAGAAAGCCCGTGTATTAATAAATATACATACACACACCTTAATTTAATAAGTAAACGGGCGCATGCCGCATAATCATTTGTGAGAGAAAAAAGAGATACGAAAATAGTATCATTTGCAGGTAAACTGTGATATATTATGATTTTACTGATTTCTAACTTAGTTTTAAAAGTTTTTATCAAGTTTTTTTAGTGTTTTTAGAGTCTTTACAGATTAAAATAGGTTTGGATGAAATTTAAGACATTGCAAATGAAGAAATGAAGAAAAGGAGCAGGGGACGTTTACCGTTAGCCACAACCACTCAAATCTGATAATGAACATCCGCACTGACAAGGGGACATTTACTAAGGAGGAGAGTATCCACAAGTTAGCGGATTACTTCAACGAGCTGTACGGCCCAAGAAAATATCTCAAAGACCCACTAGAGAAGATGTAGAAGAGAGAGTCTAAGCTATGGGCCACCCCAAATCGGACTCCAAGTCAGGAGAGAGAGTTGTGAGACCTGCAGCAGCAGATAATGACAGCAAAGCGAGAAAGGGAGGCGGCTCAGAAGGAGATATATGATGTAAATCACGAGAAAAAGGGGAAGGGGAAGGCCGCGTGGAAGGGAAGCTCAAGCACCGGCGACGAAGAGTAATGGAGTTGCTGTTGGATGTTGGGTTATTTCGAGTCTGTCTTCCGTAAATTTAAATTAGTCTTAAGTTGTTGTTGGATTTGAATAAGTAGATTATTATAAGTTTTAATAAGTAGATTTGTTCTCTTTAGTTTGTTAGTCATTTCAGCTTGCGTTTTTCTAGCTTAGTGGTTGAGCTAGTTGGTGTTGTGTCCTTCATTTTCGTTATGCTTCAAAGGGGGTAAAATTCGCAGTACGAGGAATGATCAAAATTGTATCCCCTAATAGATCCAATAATATCAATCAACAATACAAAGTAAAGCGCGAATTTTTAACAAAGATCAAATCTTAAGATTCTTGTTCTACATCCTCTTTTTCTTCTCTTTTCTCTTAAACTGTATGATTGAAAAGTCATAGCTTGTATTTTCTTTATGCATTTTAATAGAGTACCCTTTTTCATAAAGAAAAGAGATTCATGTTCTTGTTCTCGAAATGTCATCCACCCTAATCCTATTCCAGCTCAAGTACCCTTAACTGTGGAGTTCTCTCGGGACCAGTGACCGAAAAGATAAGTACATTTTGGTAACATAGACAGCCAAATCAATCAATTTAAACTTATTTAAATGGACTGGATCTGGGTCGTTACTAGAGCATACCGGGATTCTGTCAGGGTACTTCTCCTTGATCCTTCCAGCTTCAGCTTTCCTCTTTTCTGCACACAAACCATCTTGAGGAATCAGAAATACACTCACAGAGATGTGAACATCAATACAGCACACGCGTGAATCATAAGATCGAATCGGTACAGAAAGACTAACCGATAACTGCAAAAGAATTTTTAATATTTACTTTTGTGTAAATTATTAAACAAAATTAGAAACTTTTTTTATCCCAAGTTCTTTACTACTTTTCTCTCTCTCAAATATATCATTTCGTGAATGTAAAATATCACAAAGAAAGTTATTTCTTAAAATCTGTTTATTGATTATATAATGCTATGTATACTCTCACTAGTTTAGTTAAAATCAGATACAATATCATGTTAAGAGTTATACTCAGACTAGAGTTATAAATGTTTACTGAGTCATCTTAATTTGCAAATCATATAGTAGAGTACTACGTTTTCGTGTGGAATCAGTACGGAGAATTTGATTATAGCTCACTCTTAATTTGCATATCCAAAGCAATATCTGCATACGACTTGTAATATATACAGTTTATTGATAGACCATTAAGCTACAAGACTTTAATCTCTTGCTACCTTCTAGACTAACTACACAGTCTACACTGTCAGGAAAATACTATTTCGTTATATTTTTTGGACTTCCACATATATTGGTTTTGGATAAGACTTTCCTTATAAAGGACAAAAGATTTTTATCATGTATTTGTATTTGGATTTCACGTTTTTTTAAGAAATTACCTTATCTCTTATTATTATACGTGTAAGAGATGAGTAAGTGATGCTAGACTAATCATATTAAGTTATTCGCGCAATGAAAATTGAAAATGCAAACAAAAGTATCTCTGTTAAAATAAACAATCAACATGTACCATATTGGATTTATTTATGTTTTGTTTCTTGCGTCTGATCCCCAAAATCCCTTTTTCTGACTATTTTTAATCTTCACTAAACCAACATTAAGTCATAAATCCACTATCATCTGTTCATTATACTCAAATAATTTAACTTTTGCACTTAGTCAATTATTTTGGAATATTTTTGTTGATAATCATGATTCATGATTGTGTTATGTGGGCTGGAATAATCATGGGTCTCTATTTTTCTAGCCTGTAAAGTTTGATGGAAACTGAGAGCATCGCAAATTGTTTAAAATCTATTTGGAATTGTATCATGATAGACTAATTATAACAACCTTTGTTTCTATGCAGGTTGTTCAAACCTTTAAAAAAATGAAGAAAGGAGTTCTTTCTACTACATACTCATTTTCTTCTAAGTAGTGCATAATATTCACTTCGACCAACAAAAAAAAATCATTAAAAATGGCAAAACATTAACAAGAACTGGATCATTCACTTTCAAACGTACCAAATGACAGAAAGTAAACGAAACAAATATGTAAAAGTAACCTCTAATTAATCATTTATATAAAAAAATTTTAAGTAAAGAATGAATTATAAAGGCTATAACCACATACATAAGTATTAGTATATATCAATCAAAACAAAAAGCAATATGGGTTTGGTTCATGTTTACTCATTGTTTTGTCCTATACGTCAACCAAATCTCTCAGTCGATCGGATCTCAATATTAATATCGTTCTCTCTCAAATACTCTAAAAATTTCCACCTCAAAATGTTAAACACTAACATATTCTAAAGAGTTATATAAAAAAGAGATATTCTTACACTGTAGATAAACTTGAGGGGAAAAAAAAAGCTCCATTTTTGTAAGTGTACGCCATTAGAGAGACAAATATGTAAAATAACAAATTGAGTTATTCTATATATATATAATAAATCTCACCTTATTCCTTTACTCTTTACTCTCTCTCCATGAACACTATATAATCGTCAATAGTAGTATTAATCTTCCTCCAAAACAGTATTTGGTTAACTAAAGATTATTACATTGTTAAGAATGGGAGGTTTAGGTTCACCATGTGGAGGATGCAAGTTCTTGCGTAGGAAATGTGTAGAAGGTTGTGTATTTGCACCATACTTTTGCTACGAAGAAGGATCTTCTAACTTTGCAGCCATTCACAAAGTGTTTGGAGCCAGCAACTTCTCTAAGCTCATTTCTCATCTCCCTGTTCATGACCGTTGCGAAGCTGTACGAACCATCTCTTACGAGGCTCACTCTCGTCTCCATGATCCTATCTACGGCTGCGTCTCCCAAATCTTCTCCCTCCAGCAACAGGTTTTTCTTCTTATTATTATTCCCTTAATTATGATTAATATAAACGAGTTTTTTTTTTCCCCAAATAAACCAGTTCGGTGGTTTTTCATCATCTCTAGTGAGCTCACAAATTGCTTGTGTGTGTTAAGGTTGTTAGTCTACAAGCACAAGTGGTCCTTCTTAGAGAAGAAGCTTCTAGAAAGTTTCCTCAAGAGAACTGTACGGAACAAGAGAAGGTTCTAGCTCAAGATATGCCCCAAGATCTTCACAGTTGGTTCCATCAAGTAGTCTCCGACTCCAACCTTAACCAGATGAGTGATGTTGCATCAACGTCCATGGATCATAATGAGTCGTTTTGTAGCTCAAATGAATCTCTTTACTACCAGGAAGTCATGTTTCCATGGCCTGTTTGAGTACAAGTGACTAGTTTGTGAGAGATTGGAACTTAAATTCTTCTAGAATCTTCTTTCCTATCGACTTTTCGAAGCTTTGCATCTCAGAAATCGAATCAGCCAACCATATTTCTCTTAGAATATAATTGCTGCATAGAAACAACATTAGTTCTAAACAAGTGGCCAAAAAGATTGGTTACAGAGAAATAGCATAACAAAATGTAATGTAGGCTGTTTTAAGACCAGACACAACTACAAAGCCAGAGAGACAAAAGCTACGTCTTCACGTTGGATTCTCGATATCCCAAAAGACATTTAGTTACAAAAGTTGTGTCTTCATCTTGGATTCGATTTCCCAAAAAAGATCTAGTTAGTATGGTTTCTTCCTGTTTGGCTCCGAGCTCATCTCTTGTGCTTAAACCTTACTTTCAACAGGAACTGCAACTTCACCTGTCCACAGACAAATCAATCTTCGTCAGACATGTACACACCATACAGTATATAAGAACAATAGCTGCAGCTGAGTTCTGAAATGTTAGTTTGCTGGATGATATGTTTCTCATTCTAAATTACTCAGAGTTACAGCAAGAACAAGCGCGAGAAGGATAGTGTTTGCCATATATCCTATTGTAAAACAGCAAGAACAAGCACGATGTCGGGAAAGGAACAAGGAAGATCATTTGGACATAGAAGTTACCTGGGATGTATTGTAGACGATATACTCGTTGTACATAAGCTCAGAAGCCTTGGCCTTCGATGGAACAGGTTTTCCACAAGGAACAGTCACATCATCTCTCCACTTGGCAAACTCCGATTCCTGAGGCACTTTCTTGCCAAGCCCTTTGGTTGAGTGTTTCCCTCTCGGAGGTTTATCCATGTACTAAAAAAATGTAGACATGAGAGAACAGTCATAAGGATGTAAGAATATTATAAGTTATGCACTATAGTCTCGAGATAAAAATGCAACTTGGGCTCACCTTGGCTTTTGTTAGCTCGTGGACTTCTCCCAATGCAACTTCACTCAGAAGCATTAGACCCACCGGGTTTTCCTTACCAGTGAAGCAGTACTGGGCACTTTTACTGACAAGGTCAGCGAAGTAGATCCCCTTACCAAACTGAAACACGAGATTTGAAGGATGTTCAGATTCTCCAACAAGCTAACAATAGATAAGCATAGGTGCAGAGAGAGTATTAACCATGTAGCCAGTAGCAGGAGCTTCTGGAGGCGCAATTCTCAGTCCTTGGTTCAGAATTCCAACAAAATTCGTCAATCGGGAACCTGAAAGCAGAGTTATTTTCGGTTAAACCAACTAATTCTATCAAATAGACAAAATCAAGCAGAATTTTAACAATGGAAAATTCATGTATCTGCTTCCAAACTCATCCAACTGTGGCTGGTTGTCATTTGGCTTACCGTGCCATAAGAGCATCTTATTGCCAAGTTTTTCTCTGTAAGGAGAGTATTTATCAAACTCTCCTTCTCTTTCAAGAGCAAAAACTTCCTCCAGTTCAAGACTCCACTCCTGACAAATCCAATAAACAGAAAATGAGTAACAAGAACTATGATAAGTAAACATGAAAAGCAAAGAAAAAAAAAAAGAACTTGAACTCACTGTATGTGTTGGGGCATGAGTTGTGTTGAGATACTTCTCTATTAACAGGTAATCATCACTATCATGGGGAAGTGGTGAAATGTCACAATGCAACTTCTTATATTTATCATCGAGAGATTCAGAGCTATCAGCATCAAAGCCAACTAATCTTGAAGCTATCTCGATATCCTGCAGAGCCTCAAGCATTTTCACCTGCCATACAGACGCAATACCTTTTTATGTAACGCACAATAGAAGGCCAGGAATATAAAAAAAACAACACCATGGTTCTACAGCGAGTACCTTTGACTTAAAGTCATCTTCATCTCGGATAATATGAGGATGGATAGAAGGGATCATGGTAAAAAATCTATTACTAGCATCCACAAGCAAGTTTTCTTTGATAGAAGGCTGGGGGTCGCTTTCAGTCAATAGCTTCTGTATCTCCGTCAATGCCTCAAAACCTGTATAAGAACAAACATAATTCAATGTGATGTGGAACAAAAGATTTCATTATCTATGAAAGAAAAAGAAAAAATACTGAAACTAGACGACTAGGAGTTACCCTTCTGTATATTATGTTTGCTAAGTTTCCCAAGTGGCATCTCTGACATATTTATCTCGAACTCCATCATAGCAGCTCTGTGGAGGCAATGATTTGATTACTTCAAACGGTTTTTAGGGAGAGGAGAGGAAAATAAATGGCAAATAAGTTTCTAACCGGTATGTTTCCACATCAAAAAGCATCCTCATCAATTCTACTAATGGAGGAGCAAGGTTGCTAATGGTCTGAACTGGCTCTTTTTTTGCTACTTGCTTGTTAACTCCATAATCCTGAAACAAAATAGTTTAATAAAGGGTTAAAGAAAATCATAAGATACGATGATCCGAAAGATATGGATGCTTAAGAGGAATTACAATCTCCAACGGGAGAAATCTTCCAGGTTGCTTCTGGAAATTCTTCTTTTGTTCCCAAGATTCCCATGTGTTTCCAGTCTTTTCGAGAAATAGACGCTTGAATTCGTGAACTGCATCAGACTTCGGCATCTCTTCCAGTTTGTTACCACCAATCTTTTCATTTCCAACTCGGCCCCATTTGCGAAATACGTAGCAATCTGAACCTTTATCTTCTTGGATTATCTGGAGTATGTAATAACTATTGATACCGGTAGAAAGATCAGACATGCTCAGAGTTGTGTTGTAGATACTGTTCCCATCTTCCAGAATGTGACAGTGCTCTTGGAGGCCAGACGCTTCATGCACGGCGCTTCGCCCTTTTACTTTAACAGTGACCATTCCCTCACCAGCGTCTTCAATTCTGTACTTGTCAAATGGAAGCTTCCTCTGCTTTTTAAAACAGTCAACCAAATAATCCTCTCTAACGATTGCCACTTTCATCCTCCTGCCACATATATCAACACCAACGTTCAGAGTGAGAGCGAAAGAAGTGTAAAGAGTCAAAAAGTGGCCGCACAAACAATAAAGGCACCATTCTCTACCTTGCTTTTTTCATTTCAGCATCTTGCATATCTGTAGGGCCACAAACAACCAAACAGCTTGAACCTGCAAATTTGTGAAACAGACATACTGTAAAGCTAATAACAGGTTCACAATAGTCTAAACTAAACCTTCGAGAAATATGTACCTTTCTTAACAGTAGCATGATATTCTGCACCGGCTTCCTCAATTTTCGTCTTCCAGGCTTGCTGCAAAATGATCCCATCAGGAAATGAAGTGCAAATCTAATCTGGATATAAAATAGTTGGAGGAGGGACATACGCGTTCCTTAGAGGATCCGGCAACTGAAACTCTAAGATCATCCAGCTTTTCACTCCTTGAGGAGGCAGCTGCATCTTTAGTTACTTTACCCTGAGATGTTCCACCAGATGTTATAGGGTTCAGAATACGCTTTGGCTTCACACTCTTTTGCGACTTATTCCACTGCAAGGAACCAGAAGACAAAGATAAACTTACTGCCAATCACACCAAAGATAAACTTAATGCCAATTACACCAAAAACAAACTAGCCCATACCAATACCAACCAACTCAATAAGACGACTGATTTACCTTCAGAAGGAACTGATTTTCTGTTTCTTCAGGGATTTTCCACTTCCCTTTGATGCGGTCTGGATCAGAAGTGGTATAAGAACACTTGCTCCATTCCGAGATGTAACCATGGCATTGGTAAATTCCTCCCGAAAAAGAAAGGTGACTAGAGCAAACTGGGCAGAGAGCGAGTGGACCAAACATCATGCCATCGGCACTAAAAGAAACAAGAAGGAGAGAGGTCAGGAATATGATTATGCATCGGATTCTCTAATCCCAACAATATCTACACAACAGTAACAGAAACAAAAGACGTTTCAGAATGTCTTTTCTAAGCAATGTACTTCCAGACAGCTTAGCAATGTAATTTACCATTTATCCCGCAGATCAAACTCTGATCCTCTTGTGCTTTGTTCATTTACTTCAAGCATTTCCCGCAACTCAGCTGTTGACACATGTTTTTTCAGGTCATCCTTCAGGTCCCATAATTCCTTAATTTGGGCTTCCATTTCCTTTTCTTTGCTACAAGGTTGTAAAGCACCGCTCGTGGACATGTCAAAACTAGTCTTAGCTAGTTTTGACTTCTCGCTATCACCAGAATCATTTCTTCGTTTTGTGCCTGCTTTTACATTTGTTTGACGTGCTTCCGCTGTATCTGCTCCAGTTGTGGCAACAGAAAGAAATCAGACAGTGATAACTACAAAAATCACACTTTTATAACACGGAACTCAACTCATTACTGAACATCTTAAGACTCTTACCAGTTTTGGCTGCTGGCGGAGCTTTCTTCACCGAGGGAAGGAGAGCTTTTTGATCTGAGTCTGGTATGCTTCCCCACCCAGGCAAACTTTCCAGTTCAGTAGAGGAAGACATCTCAAGGAAACATTTTGCGTGGTACCACATCAAACCCTTGTTACCCGGACCTTCAGTCTTAGAGAATATACGTACCTGAAAGAAAAAGAAAATCACATCAACCTACTGAAGGGCAAAAAGAAGTTCATGTAAAATGCTACAACCAAGTGAGATCGTATGACAGATGAAGTAGAACAACACCTTACCTCTCCTTTCATGATCTTTTCGCTACACTTTCTACAACCAGCACGAGAAGTCTGTGACACTTCAATCCCATATTCTAGCTTAGCATTTCCACCGCTGCTGCTTGTGCCCGTGCTCGTGCTTGTGCTATTCCCTGCTCCAGAGTCGACATATTTTCTTATCTTTTGCTGATCTTCCCAACGAAGTGATTCCAAGCCTTCAACATCATCAGCTCTAGCAAAACCAAGAGAGACAAAAAAAAAAAGGGTCGATAGCTGAAACGCTTTTAATATTTCAGATAAGCGACATTTGTTTTACATACGCTTTTATCTGCTTGTTTTTCTTCAGTATACAAGCAGCATGGTGCCACATCTGCGTTGGATAAAAAAAAGTACAGAGAGGATACATTAGTTTGATTATCTTCATCTCTAGTGGAGCTAAAGCAGCATACACAGCTGATTGCGATTAAAATTGGCCGCATAGAGACATCGAACAACAATCAAAGCAAATGATTATTGCAGAAAGCACGAATCTTTTGTAGTCACTAGTCATCAAGTACTACATGAAATAAAAAAAGAACTAAACTTTAAGCTTCGATTAAGCATTAAAGGAAGAAAGAACACTGTGTGAGGTAAATGAAAAGCTTTTTAAGAAGTGTAAAAAAAATGCTCCAATTTGAGAAAGAAAACAAGCTTGACATGCAAAAAGTAGACCCAGAAATCAAATAACCCATACGCACAAAATTTACAATGTAAAGTAGCGGAAGCAGAATGGATTAGAGAATACCCTCATTGTCAATTCCAACGAGAGAAAACAAAAACCAATTTTGCCTCACAAAAACCCTAAAAGATGGAACTTTTGTCATTTGAAAAACAGAGAGGAAAAACTAGAATCCACGCACTAACAAGCGAAAGAGTAAAGTACAGGGTCGAGTCCAAATTATGGGAGAAAAGAGAGAGAGAGAGTCGTACGGGCATGACGCCATCGAATTGAGAAGCTTGAACCAACTTTCCAAGACGAAAGACCTCCTTGTTAATGGCGGACTTGCAAGACTTGCAGGAAGACCTGGAGGACTTGGCATACTCCGCCCTCCACGGCTTATGTGGGCTCGCCATTTCTGCAGTTCTCTCTCTTTATCTCCGGTACAGAGATTACAGTGTGACAGTGAGTGAGAACTATTTATACATATGCCTCTCGAAGAAGAAGAAGAAGAAGAATATGATGACGATGATGATGATGACGACGACGACGATGGATTTATCGGTGGGTGACGCCTTTCCCAGATTGTGTTTCTACTGTTTACCCCTTTTTCCCCTTTTTCACCGGCGAGTTTTTTCACCCTAAAAAGCTGTGTTTTTGTCACCGTATCTCTCAGATTATCTCAGCCGATGAGGTTTCGATTATTAATTTATTACGCAATATTAAAGAATTAGCAAACTTAATTTTAGGGGATCATTTTTTTGACAAAGGGCTTTCAGATTAATTAGGGGATCATGAATCGTGATACTTTGTAATTTAATTTTCTCAAACATATTATACCATTTATTTAAAAACCAGCTCCTTTCTAACCAACACCAAATCAAAAGTAACTGTTTTTTTATACAGGTTATATTTTTTGTTTAATACTGATTTATTAATCTATTGTAAAGTATGAAAATTGTTACATTAGTGATTTTACAACGGCCAATTTTATCATCCTATGAAAATACACAATTTCTGGATTTAAAATTTAGAGAAATTTACATATTAAGGCACTTCTTCATATAGAAAGATGAATAACAAAATAAGACACTTAGAAGAGAAGACGCATTTTCTTTATGTGAAATGACTATTTTATCTTTTTTCATGCAATATCAAATATCCATAACTGTTAGACTACGTGGATGAACGTTTGTGGATAACCATAACACTTTGTTATCAATTTTCATGGATGAAAAGTATGTATGGCAGAGATGGACAAAGCACGGATGGTAGAAATGGATGGGAATGGATGGATGGAAGTGCATGGATATCATAGATGGATGAGAATACATAGATGTTATGGATAGATGTGAATGCATGAATGACACAGATGGATGTGAATGTGTGGATCGCAAACACTAACGTACCATCACCGAAGATAAATGGATGAAGATGTATGGATGTTATGAATGGATGTAAATTATAGATGTTATGGATAGATGTGAGTGTATGGATGTGAATGCGTGAATGGCACAGAAGACAAAATATATCATTAAGGGCAAAATCATCATATCGTGATTGAACAGTAATACAAAGTACCTCAGTTCTTTAAAGTGTCTAATTTTGTAACTAAATTTTCTAAAATGCCTTATTTCGTAAATGTCTCTAAAACTCAGACCTCCTGATATAAAATCATTAATAAATTCTTATTAAACCATTAGGCCAAGGAAACTTCCACCTATACCGGTTATGGTTATAATCATTCATTTTCCAATTCAATATTTTCTTGCAACATCATCAACTTTAGCATATAAGATCGTATATACTTTCTTCAAGTCGATAGTGAATATTTATTTAGCTACTTATTGCTAACAACGTATAACAATCACTACTCACATCACAACATCCCGGTTGTATTTTCCTCCAAATTTTCTCGAAATTCACGAACGTGATATTCGTTTAAGAGCTAAATAAACCCTCCTCTACAAGAAAAATAAAAACCGCGTTATGTATGACTTATGTATATAATCCGTTTTCATTATTTATTTATGGTTCAAGTGTTGAAGAAAGTACAGTATATTAATACTTTTCGAGTGTATTACGACCTTACAAATTGACTTCATTTTTGTAAAGGTTCAAAAGAGAGAACGTGATGATGAAGAAGAAGCAAGTGATCCTTGGAGTGATTTTGCTTGCCCTTTTCGTGATTTTCTTGGGCGCCAAACAAGTAGAAGCCACAAGGCTGTTACGAGCCACCGTACATAGCGAGGTTCGGTTCGTGTTCGTGTCGTTGCAGAGGGGTTCGGTTCCTGGTTCCCGCAGGAACGGTTGCACCAATATCCCCAAAGGCTCGGGCAAGTGCCACGGATGAGCATCACTCACGTAAATCTTTACTCATGGATCGAATTCTTTTAATTTTGTGTTGTATATAATATATACAAAATTATGTTTAGCTATTCTTTTTTTCGTTTACATTTAATCATTTTTTGTTGTGACAAAGGACATTTGATTATGTTAAACTGTTCTTGTAAGTTGTAATGTATGTATCAAAGCAAATAGTACATGTTTGATGTTTCATTATCTTATGAATTTACGAATTTAGAAACTTTTTCAAAGTGAAGGAAATAAATTATTTGGTTGTTTTCCAAATTAGTAGTGGCTATGTCTGATTAACCGGAGTCTAACACAGGCTTTGCTTTTTTGGTCCCCTTTAATCACTCTTTTGAAGATTCCGGTTATGTTTAGTTGGTTCTTTGTATCCGACGATACAAAGAACCGAATTTGAAACCAAACCGCTTCAAATTGGTTCGATTTGCAGTGTGTTCTTTCTTGGCGAGAGATCCTTCCTTCAACGCTTAAACCCTTGAGAGTTTCCATTGCACATTTTCCCGAGATTTGGGAGTGTCCATAAACCCCACACACACTCTCTCTCTCGCTGATCGAGCCAGAGGCAAGAGGAGGAAGAAGGAGGAGCAGAGAAATGGTGAATAAACCTTGGAAGATAATTCCAAGGCCGCTTCTAGAAACCGTTCTCAACAACCATGTCCAACGCCACCGTGTTCCTCAGCCGCTTATCCTCCACGGTCCTCGTGGCGTCGGCAAAACCACCCTAATTCTCAACCGTAAATCTACTTTTTGAATCTCTAAGTTTCCCAATCTCAATTCTTTTTAATAAAAGATCATAGCTTTAATTCGCTCCGATCTCATTCTTTTAGGTCTTCTCGGAGACTGGAACAAAGGGCCTCACATCGCCGGCTATGTAGATTTCGCGCAATCGGTAACGGAACACCATCCGGATCACCAACAATCATATCCATGGGCGTCTTGGACCAGTTGTGACCAACCATCGTTGTCGAATTGCAAAACCCAGCTCGAGAACTGTCTCGAATCAATGAGCCACAAAGCTATCAAGCTCGGGAGTATAAGCTCGCAGCAGATATTCACTACAATGAACAAATGGCACGGTCTTAACACCGCACTCCGCCGTATACTCAAGGGTTATAACACCGCCGTCCCGGAGAAGGCCTCCGTTTCGTTTCTCTGGGAACGGGCGGTCTATGCGCTATCTGTTCGACAAAATGCCGATGAGATTGATGGGTTGCTCGAATTGGAAGAGAAAGGTGATAGCTTGTCTGTGGAAGAGGCTTCGTACTACAGAGAGACCGCCTTTGCGTTAAGACTGGCCAAAGAGGTGATAAGTATGCACCAGGGATGGAGAGCCAATGCCATTGCCCATCTAAACCGAACCAACGGGTTCTCGAGAACATTAGCAAATTCAAGTACTGACTGGCCTTTGCTGCTGCTCGAGTTGTTGTCACAAGCTGCAGAGATTGGTTTCTTCCAGGTACTAGTTTTTGTCTTAGGTCACTGAATCTTTTGGCTTTGTGAGTAGTAGTTAAACAGTGGCTGTATTCACCTGGAAACATTTTGCTAACTGTCAATGTTACTTTCTGCACTAAGTAATGGCTGGCTTACTTTTGTTTCTTGCTTTCACTTGGCAGCCTAAGCTGGTCTTAAACAACATTGAAATCTTGAAGAATGCTACTCAGACTGATGATTCGACGGTATCAGCGTCAATGTATCATGACAATCTTGTGTGGAGAATCATAGCGTTAGGTGCAAATGAGCGTTGTCTACCTGTTCTATTCGTGACTTCCGATAGGTTGGTCCTGTTTTTGTTTGCCTTTTTGGGTTTTTTATGTACAAAGCTGTTACATTCTGATGATTGCTTGATCTCATTGGACTTGTTTATCACTTTTTTAGCATGTCACTTTGTCACAGAGATTCTAAATAGTCATTTTTTTTTTTTTATCATTCTCTCTGATATGGATAATTTATGTCACGACAGCTATTACTCATATCAAGCCTTTGTTGACTTCGGGTTTCCAGACATCTTCATCTCTCGTGAGGTATAGAAGCTACACATATATCTCTCACTAATATATGGATTCTAGTTAACCCAAGAGTAAAAGTTTTATCCGCATTCTCCTCTTTAACATTGCATTTTGGCTTTGTTTCATTGGTAGACATTTGGATGGACTCCTCAAGAAGCCAAATTACACATGGTTCCTGACTACTTCAGCGCTTCGGAGGTGAGAAAAGTGCTGTAGGTAATGGCATGCGTGTTTTATGAACCCGTAAAATAGAAAATTGAGTGATCTTTGCTGTTATCGTTTTATTGTTTATTTTAGATAAGTGACTGCTGTATGTTATACCAGAGTTCTTACATAATCTTGGAATTGTAGTGGACTATCATTGCTGATGTTCTTGGTGCCAATTCTCGGCATCTATTCGAGCTTTATGCACTTAAGCAAAGTAATCATTACCAAAGGTAATGGTTCTCTGTTCTTTTGTGTTTTATCCTTTATGTGTTTGTCCGTCCTCAAAATGCGTTTTTCAATTTTCAAATGTGACCGGAAGTTTGTTTTGTCAGTTTGATGGGAAACAAAGCAGGTACATTTGAAGATGTTGTGGATGCATACTTAGCATATTTACAAGTAAGCTCATTTAAAGCTGATTGCTTGCTATTGAATTCAAATTACAAATTAAGATTACCATTAGTTTTGTTACACTATATTTTATCTGTTCTTTTTTATTTGTATAGGTTGCTGTGGTTAATCCTGCAATGGAGAAAGCTCTGTTGCGGCTTCAACGGTATGCCAGTGATGCACGAAAAGGAAGCATTCCAGATGAAAAATTACGTTTTGGTGCTCCATGGAGGCATCCTCCACGTACTGAGGATCCTACTGTCTGCTCCGAATGGGCTAAAATCCAGCTGATGGATTTCGTTCAAGCTCTTGTCAATACAGAATTCGCGGTACCTACTCTTCTAGACCCTTAATCGAAATGAAGCCAAAGTTTGTTCATTTTTACCTTATCAGATATGAAAACCGCTGAATAATGTAATGGTTCTCTATAGGTAAATTATTTGGGTGACTATAGCCTTGAAATATTTGAAGACCCTTCTGCAATGGCATTGGTTGAGGTAAAAAAATCATTATCTTTTCTTAATTCCTTTGAGACCGTTTTCACTAACAAAGGGTTGATTCTGTTCCAGGTTGGGATACTATATACTCAGCGAGATCCGTCTTTTTTCCGTCCTATATCTCAAGGCATTAAAAGATGTCTTGTGAGATGGTGAGCAAACTTTTTTCCTCTTTCCCATGGATCTTCTCTTTTGCTGTTTTCAAATTCTCACACACCCCTGTGATTTGCATTTTTAGGCTCATCCAAGAGCGAATGAAAATGAGTTATTGGAACTCAACCAAATATTGGTGGCAAAGAATAATTCGGGGTCGTTATTACAAGCATTTGATGCTTGGCTACAGAACATAGGATATTTCACACAGGTACATACGCCTTACATGCTCTGTTTCTACCTCTCTTACATCTCTCAATAGTACGATTCAATTATAGTACAGGATATGATAAAACTTGCGAGTCTGATTCCAGTTATTGCGTTAGCGTGTCTATGCATCCTCAATGAAAGTACAGTGTTGCGGTTACTTTTACCGATGAAGTTAATCATCCCAAGTTTCACGTGCAGGTTTGTTTTCACAGGAAAACATAAAGAGAGGCGCGTTATTTTTTTGTTTCTAAGTGCCGGCGAGGTCTGACTTTTAGTACATCACGAAGCGACGTCGGAGGGAAAAAAAAGAAAAACCTCCGGCGACGAACGGTGTAAGTGGGAATACACACTGCCATGAGAAGGGCTGTTTCTTCAGACGTATATAAAGCGCATGCTGCTGTGTTATGTGATTTTTGTGGTAAAAATTATAAGTCAAATACTTGAATTTATCCACTGTGTTGTCTGCCTTCTCGAGCCGAAAAGTCCAATAAAGTTTCCTTTTAAAAAAACAAAAAAAAATATTTGTTTAATTAGATTTTGTTTCTAAAAGTGGTATTTTCTTGACCACTTAACAAAACTAAACGGTATCGGTTATCAAGACCTGTGGTCTGAAACAACATATCAGTCTCAAAACCAAACCTATCGTCACGTAACGCATTTGCGATATGGTAATCAAAGATCAGCTCTTCCAGGGTAGCGAGGGAAGAGACTAACGTCTCTAATGTTGTCAATTCCTGTAGCGAAGAGAAGCATACGCTCGAAACCCATTCCGAATCCAGAATGATTCGCTGTTCCTTGACGTCTCAACTCAGTGTACCACTCGTGTTGCTCAGCTGATAGACCCATCTCCTCAACCCTGTTAATGCAAAGACCACAGATGAGAGATAAGAACACGAACCAAACTGGTTTCACTTTCACCAACCTTTCCATGAGGACGTCAAATCGTTCTTCCCTTTCGCTTCCACCAATGAGTTCTCCAACCTTTGGAACCAGGACATCCATGGCACCAACTGTTTTCCCATCATCGTTAAGTCTCATGTAGAAAGGTTTGATTTCTTTCGGGTAGTTATACACAATAAGAGGCTTCTGAAACAAAACCTCTGTCAAGTATCTGTGTGATTGCAAGATAGGAGACAACATTAGTAATAACCCAAGTTGAGAAATACTTTTTTAAAGGATTATATAAGAGAGAGAGAAGAGACCTTTCATGCTCAGATGCCAAGTCGATTCCCCACTCCACTTGCTTCTCAAATGTCTTCCCTTGAGCCACAGCTTCCTCAAGTAGCTTTATTGCTTCCGTGTACGTTACTCGACCAAACGGAGTCGTGGCAGCCACTTTGAGCCTGTCAATGCAGTCTTTGTCGAATTTTTCAGCCAGAACTTTCAAGTCATCGTAACCCTTTTCAAGCAACCCATTGCAAATGTATTTCACAAATGCCTCTGCGCAGTTCATAAGCTCCTCTAGACCAGCAAAAGCTATTTCAGCCTCAACCATCCTAAACTCAGAAAGATGCCTTGAGGTGTGAGACTTCTCTGCCCGGAAAGTCGGGCCGAATGTATACACATCGCCGATACCGCGAGAACAGGATTCCAGTTGAAACTGACCAGAAACTGTCAGGAAAGTTGGACGGCAAAAGAAATCTTTGGAATAATCGATTTTTCCATCCTTATAAGGTAATCCAGGCTTAAGCCTTGACTTGATCTCTTCAACCTCGGCTAAAGCCTCTTCTGCTTCATCGAGTTCAGCAACGAGAGCAGCGATCTCCTGCAGGCTTGCTTTGGCAGCTTTGAGTTGCGCTACAGCTTCCCCTTTCTCCTCGACAATGAGCTTGGCAGCTTCAATGTTCATAACGACATCTCTCTCCAGCTTTTCAGATTGTTTGATCAAGGTTGTCACTTGGAACGTTTCACCACCACCTTCGCAATCACACGTTGTGATGATGGGAGTGTGAACGAAGGTAAATAATTCTTCATCAAAGAAACCGTCGACCAATTTAGCAGCAATACTTCCGGTTCTTACAGTTGCTGCGCACTGTTACCACAGGCAAACAAATACAGCAATTTAGCAGTTGAAAACATGTCAACTCTTTCCTGTTTCAAGATAGCTAAGTTTTACCGATTTGGTCCTTATACGAAAATGAGTAATGTCTCTCAAATACTCTTGAGACAGGTTCGTCTTAGGAAGCGGGTACGTAGCCGGATCCACCGTTCCCACATCAGTCACCTTGTCGGCTCTAAGCTCAATCTTCTGCTTCGTACCTTTACCTTTCGGAGGAATCTTCAAACATCCATCAGCGGTCAGACAAGTTCCCGTCGCAACCAACTTGGAGAGATCTGACACAGAAGCATCGACCATGACCTGAAGATTCGCCGCGCATGATCCATCGTTCACCTCAAGAAATGCGAAAGTCCCTTTTCCTTGCCCCCTTCCCGTTTTAACCCACCCGCTGATTCGGACCTTCTGACCGGCAAGTCCAGCTCCGCCGTCGGGTCGACCTAAAATCGATGCAATACGGGTTCGACTCGAAAACCGGGAATTCTGCACCGTCGATGACGAGGCTCCATCCTTGTCCGTCGCAACCAACTTGCCGAGATATTCAGTCCATCGAATACTTTGAATACGGCTCCGATACCAAACCAGGGCTTTCTGCACCGCCGATGACATGGCTAAATCCTTGTCCAAGGAGGCGGCGGCTAGTTTTGATAGAATAAATACCGTCAATCACAAGTAACCGATAAATATACAACTAATGTTCCTAAACACACGGATTCTAATCCAATGGAGAAGATGAGATACTCATCCTCACGGATAAATAAGCGTGCAAAAGAAGAAATGCTTTCAGTAATATTCTCGATAATGTGGTTACAACTCTTTGATGGCTATTTCACATTCATACCCAAAAAGAAAATCTTTGATAGCTAGGTCATCCTAGTTTCGCCAATAACCCTGATTTTTTTTTTTTTATAAAAAAAAATAGTATACGCTTTGAGTTAGAAAAATGACATACTAAATGATCTAAATGATGTAATAACTTTTAAAATCATCATGGCGTTTAAAATTTCAAAGCTCAAAATTTCAAATAGATAAAATCTTCAAATTTTTACAGTCTCTAAATTGATGAACCCCAAAATCGTCAAACTCCAATTTCAGATAGTAAGATTTTGAGGCTTGAAAGTTAATTGAAAAATAAATCAATATCAAATTTTTTGTATAATTAACTTGATCATTTATTTCAGTTTCTCAAAACTCTACATAGATTAAGTTGTATGAAAATTTTGACATATACATCTCCTTTTCAACCAACTTTGTAGATAGAGAATTTTATTACTGCACAGTTTAAAATTATTTATATCAATTTTTATTATTTAAAACGTATATATTTGATTTAATGTTAATATTTATGTTTTAAGGTTATTGTTGACAGAAAAAGAGGGGCTTTCACATTTAATTTATAGTCGAGGGTTTTTTTATCTTCAAATTTTCGATAAATCTGAATTTGAGAGATTTTTTATTAGTTTTACATCTAAAATTTATAGTCATTTTTTATAATTTAAAACGCATAGTTTTTATTTAACGCGTTAATGGTATTATAAAAAGAGAAAATTTTTATTAACAAAATTATAATTGAAGATTTTACATTATATTTATAACTAATGGGTTTTCTCGATTTATCAGGGAATTTTTTTTAATAACCCTTTAAAACGAAATACTTTTGATTTTTACATTATTGCTAAAAATGCTATTTTATTGACCTACTAATTCGTGAACAGGGAAAAAGACCCAAGTTTGTATTGAGTTTCCGTAGGTTACAATTCAAATGTTATAGACCACGAAGCCTAAAGCTATTGAATAATTACGTATATGTAATTATGTACGTAACACACACAAATGTGGAAAAAAAAAAGAATCAAAGAATGATGAAAGATGAAGAAGGTTTGTATGACAGCTCAGCCGTTGCGGCATTTGCCTGAACCACGAGGAATATTGGTGCAACCGTTCCGACCAGAGCCACGGACCGGACCTCTTTGCAACGCCTGAAACAGTAGCCTGAACTCATCGACGGCCTCTGGGAAAGGCCTCATGGCTTCAACTTGCGTAACGTTCAAGACAACAACAAAAATAGCAACTAAGATAATTACGAGCACTAGTTGTCTCTTCATCATACTTAATCAGATTTGTTTTCTTCTTCTTCTTTTTCTTCTTCTTCTTCTTTTTGAATGGGAAACGAAAACAAAAATGAGCTTTTTTATTGGTTAGAGGAGTGTAGGATCTTATTGGTTTGTATGTGTAATAAATTCGATAACGACTCTTATATATAGGGTTTTTTTTAGATGCCGTTGTTTGACTTGGGCAAGTTTGGTCTCACTATGTTTTGTTTATGCATACAGTATACACACACATATATGACCTTTGACTTTGACTTTACTACAAAAGAATTCGTTTTCAACATTTTGAACCAAAATGTATATTGAAATAGAAAATTCACTTAGACACGGTTTGTCTAAGTCCACATGGGCTTTTGCTAAAGATAATCAAGACCTGGTCCTAGCTGCCTCAGTCTTAACAAAATTCTGATTTCGTTTTAGATTGGTTTGTCTCTAATTTTTTTGATGTGATATGATAAGTTTATCTTTCATTTTTTTTGGTTCTGTCAATTTTATTTTGTGACTGCCTGAACACTAGACGGCAGGGAAGAGAGTCCAAAAAAGTTGCTAAAAATTGTATGTAGTAATTTATTGACAATTATATGAAGTTTGTCGTTGATAAATAAAACTTATTATTTAAATATATAAATATGAGTTAGCTCAAGAAAATTATATTAGTAAATGATTACGGGAAGAGAGATTGAATTGTAATGCCACTTTGGTATCGTCTTGTTTGTCTCACTGCAGCATTGGTTGGTGACCTAGATGATGATACATGCATCCCTTATCACAGTGATTTAAAATATTACCAATAACAAGTCCATATGTCGCAAATCATTAGATTTTCAAAGGTTCGATTCATCAAAGTTATGAAACATGTGGACTATCAAATCAATGTTCCAGTAAATCAGTTAGCAAAAAAAAAAAATCAATGTTCCAAATATATAAGTAGCCACCAGTAAGTTATAAGAAGTTAAAACAATTCATAATTTCATGTTTAAAATGGCAAATGATTATCTGTTTAGTGTTTACGAAGTGACGTTATAATATTGTAAAAGGTAAAAACAACGTGTAATTAAACAGAAAGCGGGTTCCTTCCATCGCTCCATCGTCAAGTTTTTGAAATGAATAATTTAGGCTTATTTCTCTTTTATTCATATATCAATTTGCTTGTAACACAAGTGTGTGTGTGTGTGTGTAACTAGATCAGGGTTTTTTTATTTGTTTGAATCGGAAATTTTGGTCTCGTAGGATTTTCTTAAGATTTGACTTTTCTTTGGGAAGAAACTCGGCTTCAAAACATCTGAACAACACCTTTTCTCAAAAAAGAAAAACATTTGAACAACACACATATTGGAAATAATCAAACAAGTTGATACACGACTCGATTCGCCTTACACCACCACTTCTTCTTAATTCACACGAGAACCGGATAATTTTCTGAAATCCGGATGATAAGCCCGGTTTAAGTTGTCGGATCCTACTTCCTAGGTATTCATATAAAGCAACCCAGTGAGTAACGAGTATTGTTTAGTTTTATGTTTCAGTAAGGCGCATTAAATCCAGATTTCGGCTTATGCAAATACAATTATTCAGCATTTAGATATTTTATTAGACTTCAATTGTATTAGTATAACCATTTACAATGCATACGCGTTGTTACTCTGGTACCTAATATAAAAAATATTGTCGTTGTTGCATATGCATATGCATGCGTGTATAGGTCTGCCAAAAAAAAAAAAAAAAAAAAATTAAGACAACAAGTTCAAATTCACATGTGCTCGCGTCATGTCATCATGACTCATGTGGCAATTCTTTCAAAACATTGAATATTAAAATTGTTTACATAAGGTTTAAGGAAGTATAATACATGCTTTTCTTGAAACATCCCCGACAATGCTTGATAACATTAGCAAAGAAAACTCGGTAAAGGTGAGAAACTGAACTAAAATCATCGTCAAAAAGAAAAATTTTTAAAATTACATTTAAGCTGCTTTTGGTCGGCACAATGTAAAACCGTTTTTGGAGAGAAAATGCAAACTTTAAAACTAGCACAATACATGTACTTAAGTTTGTATCTTATTACATAATTGAATTCACATTCATAAACAATATATGAAAATAATAAACCCATAGTCGTGAAGACACGTCTTTTCTAAAACTAGAGAGATGCCTCGCTGTTAAATTGTTTTCGTTTAGCATTCGGTACGGTTCGTTCCGGTCCGGTTCGGTCGGTCTCTGTCTGTCTAAAAGAGATGACACACACATTTGATCTCGTCGTCTCTCTCTGTCTAAAACCACATCGACTCTGTACGGCTTTTTTTTCTTTCTCTCTGACGCTCTTTCTCCGTCGATTCTCTTGGAAGATCCTCTGATCCAAGAGAGAATCTCTAGGAGATAGAGAGGACGAGAAATTCTTTGAATTCTCGAAGAATTCTCTTCGAGAGAACAGACACAGAGATAGAAAGAGAGATGCAAACCATCTCGAAAGCTTCTTCAGCTATCTCCTTCTTTCGGTGTTCTAGGGTTTGTTTGTTTGATTTTGTGTTGTTATCTGTCTCTCAATTGAATCACTTCAAAATAAAATTGGGAAGCCAAGAAACTATACTTGATGGTCGATAATTCTGAAATTTTGAATATTGATTCATGATATGGGGAATATCTGACTTTTATTAGTGATGATCTATATGCTCTATATGCTTAATTCGTGATGATCGTTTCGATGACTTCATTTTCATGCCTTGATTCGTCATCTAAGATGTTTGTTTGAGAATTATAATTTCGAATTAGTAGATTGCGTTCGTATAAAGCACACATAAGCTTGTTGTTTGATTTACTTTATTCTTTTGTTCTTGTTGTTCATTTTCGAAGTAGAATGAAATAAATGTGTAACATCTCTCTGTTTTTTTCTTTCAGAAGCTAAGAACTCAGACGTGTGTTGTTACCCCATGCGTGAGACAGCTTAACCTCAGAAAGGGTCTTGTGTGCAGAATGATGAAGATGGTCTCTTCGCCTCTTAGGACTTTGCGTGGTGCTGGTAAATCTATCCGAGTGTCAAACTTCTGCAGTGTCTCCAATGTCTCCTCATTGCAAATTGAACTGGTGTGTGTCTGTGTGTATTGTGTGAATCATGTTCTCTCAATACTGATTTGGTCCAATAGATTGATTTGTTTCTTTCATAAATTTTCATGCCACAATCCCATTTACTAGGGCATCACGAATTAAGTAAAAATGATGCTCAGATGTTTTTTTTATCTTTTTCTTTTCCAGGTGCCTTGTCTTAAGGACAACTATGCGTATATATTACATGACGAAGATACTGGTACAGTTGGGGTGGTTGACCCTTCTGAAGCTGAACCTATTATAGATTCGTTGCGGAGGAGTGGTCGAAATCTAACATACATACTGAATACACATCATCATTATGATCACACTGGTGGGAACTTGGAATTGAAAGAGAGGTACGGTGCAAAGGTAAGAAGACATAACTTCTCTTTCTATCTTCTTCTTGCGCTACGATACATTATCGGTTAAGGTTTTGGGGATGATCGAACGCGACTGCCATATATGGAATGTAGGTGATTGGCTCAGCGGCAGATAGAGAACGGATACCTGGAATTGATATAGCCTTGAAGGATGGTGACAAATGGATGTTTGCTGGTCATGAAGTCCATGTTATAGATACTCCTGGCCACACAAAAGGTTGTTTATAATTCGCATGCTAACTATGGAAGCTTTGAATGTTAGATCCCCTGCATGTTCTTGCATTCCAACGAGCCTTTAGTTTACCAAGTATTTTCCCGCTTTGAAGTAGTTGAAGATTCGATTATTTCAGTCTTTATTGTATCCATAGAATTTGTGAGAATAAGCTGAGCCTGAGACTGGAGATTTATGTGGTCTTCGTATGGTTTAGAATATGGTGTCTCTCTTTTTCAAAGAAGTTAATTGGTAACGTTTAGGAGTTCTACTACTTTACAACATGCTTGTGGGTTATTGGCGCTTTTGTTGAGTAAGGGGGATCTGAAAAAGTTGGGAATAATCCCTGGGTTTTAAGCTTTTACCATGATTGTATTGAGGAAACACGAGAGTTATATCATAAACTCTGTAACCAAGAACAGTCCTGTTCTTCTCTACTTCATAATAGATATGCATTTGGCCAACAAAAATTGAGGTTTCAACGGTTTCTGTTATGCAAACGAAAACCATGCACGATATAATACCTCTCCTAAGCCTTGTTTTCCCTACATTTTACTATTTTCTAACTATCTTAGTTCAACGTGCAGGCCATATCAGCTTATACTTTCCAGGGTCACGAGCTATCTTCGCCGGGGACACCTTGTTTAGCCTATCATGTGGTAAACTCTTTGAAGGCACCCCTAAGCAGGTAAACACCACATATCTCTCTCGCTCTATCTTCTTGCTTAAATTAAATTTCGTTTGGTACGAAACTCTCAGGATCAATTCATGTGTTCTCTATCCTCTGCAACTTGTTCTGCAGATGCTTGCTTCTCTCCGAAAGATCACATCTCTACCAGATGACACAAGCATATACTGTGGTCATGAATATACACTGGTCTGTTATATTTTCTGGTATTCAAGTGTTGTTGAAAAGCTTTAAACTATAAATGGTTGGTCTCAAATGATCTTTAATTTGATATCGGTGCAGAGTAATTCCAAGTTTGCGTTGTCTATAGAGCCAAACAATGAGGTACTCCAGTCTTATGCAGCTCATGTTGCAGAGCTCAGTAAGAAGAAATTGCCTACGGTAAAAAAAAAGACTCATCACTCATATGTAATTGCTCAATTTTCCTGGTTAACTTTGTGCTGATTCTTGTTTTTTTCCCCTTCTTGTTTTCAGATTCCGACAACATTGAAGATGGAGAAAGCTTGTAACCCGTTCCTCCGCAGTTCGAATACAGATATTCGTCGGGCTTTAGGCATTTCAGAGTCTGCAGGTGAAGCAGAAGCTTTAGGGATAATCCGAGAAGCAAAGGATAATTTCAAAGCTTAGGCTTTTTTCGAGGTGAATCTTGTTTTGGTTGGTTCTCATCTGCAGTCCATCAATAAGGTGTGTGTGTGACTTTGTACCTCTTTTTTTTCCTTAAAAAAAACAAAGAGAGAAAAGATACTTTAACTTTGATGTAAAACCTCTAATTTTGGTACTCATCAACAAATTTTTCTTCAAAAATTTATGTTTCTTAATTGACATTTTCATGCGAATTACGAAAAAAACTAATTGTTCTATTGTACGCTTAAAATGTAAATTAGCTCTGCATTACATTTTCAATATACATGACGAATGAGAAAATATGGACTCATTGTTATGTGTATTTACAATTTATATGGAGAATATAAAACTATTTGTAGTATATACTGTATGTTACTTGATTTTATTTTTTTCTGTCGTTGTATTACATGATGTTACTTGATAAACATTCTTTTTGGATTTAAAATAAAAGCAACAAGTATTTGACAGAAAGAAAAAATACTACATAAAACGACATTTATGGTGAGACGTCGTAACTATTAACAAAAGTCTAACAACCAGTCAGATTTATTTGGCTAGTCAAAATTAAATTCTCACAAAACAAGATTCAACTTTTTAACCCTGTTACTATAGAGTTCACGAGGTTTGGTGATTAGCTAGTAGGTGATCTTTAAACTAGTTTTGGGATTTGATATTTGAGTAAGAGAATCAAGTTGGTCATTGTCATTGATAACCAGAAATAAACTAACCAACTTTTCAAATTGAAATTCTTGATTCAATTAAAGAAGCAAAATTACTTTTTCTTTAGCCCTAGGACCACCCATATCGGTGTAAATACTTTGCCTCTAAGAAATAAAACCGAAGTTTGGATCCTATTTCCCTTTTTCAAGAAATTTAAGCAGAGCCTAAAAAATATTATAGGTGAACCACTTTTTTATAATGAAAACCCAACAGGTAAAGAGAAATATAGTGCCGACTTCAATTTGAAAAAAAAAAGATCAAAATGTTGATATAGGTACATAGAACTTGGGTTTATATAACAAACAAACACTGTATAAGCCAAGAAACTCCAAAACCAATATATTCCCATTGAAAAAGTCTCTGTTTCTCTCAGCTTTTCTTCTTCTACAGTTTTAATTTTATATTATTTCATTTCTTGTACGTATTAGAGAGATAGCCTCACATGTATTATATATTCCAAAAAAACTATATAATTCCAATAAAAACAGACTATCGTTCTTCTTTTACAATTTTAAATCATGTTCTCTACTAAACGACGATTAGATATTTTAGGACAGTATAATTATATTATAATAAAAGAGTCTCACATAGACATAGAGAAAGAGACCGTAATTAACGAATTAATTGCCCCCCCCCCCCACTAACGATTTATATAAGTACCGATTACGACAAATATCTTAATCAACTTGGTCCAACACTAACACATCGGAAACGTTCCTCGCGTTACCCAAAACTTCAAAAGTAACAAAATTAAAATAAAAGCAAATAAAACTCTTTTTAGGAACAGAAATTATTCTAATTACATAGAATAGATCATCCCTTTTTTTTTTTTTTTTGTTCTCTCTCCAGCACAGTTTCAACGAACAATAGCCATACGACGACGTTGAGATTCCGTTGGCAGCTTCACATCATATGCTAAACCGATAATCTGAAGAAACCGAACAATGTACCAAGAAATGTCGATTTGCCACCATTCAAGTCCTTGTCTCGCCGACGACTCGAACGCATGGTGATTGTTGTGCCAACTCTCCCCAAACGAAAATACCGATAACCACCTTTTGAGAAAGATAACCAAAAATTCAAAATAAATTCAAAAAACATATGATAAAATTGAAAACTACACACATTAATGCGTTTTTTTAATAACACGAGCTTGTCTTTCATGAGTGTACTTATGATATTATTGGGAAAGTGACATTGATGGTATTCGATTATTCTTGTACACACCAAAAATGTAAAATCAAATTAATGCTCACATACCAAACATTACGAGAAGTGTCATTGGTCTTCCAAGTTCGACTGCCCCAAATATGACAAAGTGAGTTTATGAGGCAAGTCACGTGCACCTCAAGTGCTGCTCCTACTCCCTACATCACCCACCAACTCCATTATTAATATATTCCACAATAATATGTGTTTTGAGAAAAAAACAATTTATTTACATAAACAAATTAACAAATTTCAATTTACCATTCCCCAAGTAACGAAGGACATGCCACCAAGATAGAAGAGAAGGATACCAAGTCCTATAATGTGAAAAAGCACCGTTTTCTGAAGAAATCTGTAATACCATTGCTTCTTCAAATCCTCCACATTTGTTCTTCTTCCACACTGTATTATTAATTCCTCGTAATTTAGATCTTTTTGAATATATATATATATAATATATATAACCGTATTATAATGGAAAAAAAAAGATTTATAACAAAAATTGAAAATCACCTTTTCAACAAGATATGCAGAATCATAAATCCAAAGAAGATGACTAAACCAAAAGCCTTCTTTAGGACTATGTGGATCTCGCTCTGAATCCGTAAACTGATGATGGTATCGATGAGTACTCACCCAATCAATCGGATCTCCCTATTAAATCCAAAAAAAATCCCAGTCAATAAATATAAAATACTAATTAATGACAATTAAGATCTAAAGATCTACAGGTTAATAAACCAAAAAAAAATAAAAAATGGTGAACCTGAATAGCGAGAAGGGCACAATAGGCTAAGAGATACTCAAGCCATTTAGGGACCTTGAAACTCCGGTGAGCCAAGTTCCGGTGATACGACACCGTAATACCGAGACCACCGATGGTATAAACCAAGAACGTAACCCAAAGAGCCGACCATGTGAAATAAAATGGAGCCAAGAGAGCCATGGAATGCACAAACAGTGAAGCCGATAGTTTGAAATAATCCAATCTCCTCCACTTTCTTTCCCAGAACACCCATCTCCTTTTGCTCTTCTCCGCCGTCTTCTCCGACGACGAAGGATTCTTGCGGTGGTTCTCCTCCACCGTAGACGTTACCGACATTTCCGCCGATCTCTCTCTCTTCTTCTCTCTACTTTTGTTTTTTTTTGTTTTTTAGGTTGAAAACCCTTTTTCTAGGGAATAATGGAGAGGAGAATAAAGATGATGATGCTTCCCCTTGTAATTTATAGTATCGTGAAATTTTTTAATTACTGCAACAAATATTGTATGAGTCAGTAAAATAATAAATATCATGATATTTTGTTTTGAGTTGACACGTAAGCGGTAAGGTGTATGTTACATGCAATAGTGTAATGTTTTGTAACCACTAAATAATAATAATATTTTTGCTATGGTATGTTTTTTTCTGTTGTTGTCGATAATAATAATGTAAAAACTAAAAGTTATTTTTAGATGCCCATTTGTAAAGAGGAAAAGGTGACACAGGGCTCGATTTTTCCTTGACTTATTCAAGCTATTGATATACATTTTTTGCTTTATGGATGTACGTGATTACAGGCTAAAATCACGTTCGGTAGCTGGAAACTGTTATCGAATTTCTGAGTTTTTTTTTTCTCTTTTTCTTTTGATTGTTTGTTTGTTTGTTTTCTTTTTAAATAAAAATTGGAATAACTCACTGGCAATGACGACTACTACGGAGCATATACTGTTTTCGAATCGGTTCTTTTATGATTATATGAAGAGAAAACAAATGTAAATATATACAAACGACACGAGGTCCCCCAAGTGTCACTGTATATCGGTTATACACAATTTTTTTTTTTTTTTTTTTTTTTTTATCATTTATACACGATCTAATCCAAGTACATTAATATAACATTTGACCATCCAGATCATAGAGATAAATTTCAATTTAATACACAATTTTTTTTTATATATAAACATAAATAATTACACGATCGTGATTCATGAATATAATTTTTTGTATAGGGAATAAAATAAAATCCAATATATTATGATTTGTTAGCATATAAGAATATGTGAATCAATTATTTTCTATCTAGTTTGGGTTTTCTATATTTGTGTTGCGTTTTTGGTGGAAACTTGACCGAAAAATATATAATTCCTATTTTGTAATTTAATATTTTGAAATAAACATATATATATATATATTTTTTAAGAGTTCTTGTATTTTTATTTATTAATTATAAATGTGTATATGAAATGAAAGAATATTAAGATTGATATGCATATATTATTATTTGATAGTCAAATTATGTACTATATATAGAATTAATCGAATATATATTAGTATACTACTATACTAATTCGGGTTTACATTTGAAGTAGTTGGGTTCGATGTATTATTCATAAGATTTTTTTGTTCTCTTAAATTAATCCCCAAAAAAGAATTGCAAGATTGATCATTGATGCATCTCTGCAGATGAATTTGAAATGAAAATAATCTATTTTTTTCAAATTTAGGGTTGATATGATGATAACTTTCAGAGTTTTAACAAAAATAAAAAAAAATGATAATATCTTATTGAGGACCTATCTTTTTTTTTTTTGGTAGGCTATGATGATATATCGCTCTCAATACGCACACTTCCAAGTATAATTATTATTGAAAAAATAATAATGAGGGATATTATTATTAACCTTGGGGCCGTATGTCCTGATGTCCATACCTTTTAGTAACTAAAAGTGAAATTGGAATCATACCTCAAGTAATATACAAAGCTGTTGCATCGAAAGACTGTGTATTTAAGATCGTAACTTTCACATGTTTAGATCCATTGTGTGGACATAAGCATGTGCTCCAACTTGTGATCTCTTATAATATAATTCAAACTATTTTGTTGCGAGTGTTAAGTGTTCAGCATAATCATCACAGTACATGTATAACAAATCGTTAAACTGTAATAAAAAATAATTCAATAAATCATCACGTTTGAAATGTCCCAACATTTTCTAGATCTTGAAAAAGTAAAGCTTCAAAGAAACAAAAAGCAAAAATGGAGATATATTCGAGAGCCTCGCGAACTCCGGAAGCATAAGATGACAAAAAAAA